CATCAGAGACACACACACACATCAGAGACACACACCGAGACACACACACACATCCGAGACACATGCACATCAGAGAGAGACACACACACACATCAGAGACAGACCGAGGCACACGCACCGAGACACACACACACACACCGACACGCGCACACACACACTGAGACACACACACACATACACATCTGAGACACACACACTGAGACACACACAACAGAGACACACTGAGACACACACACACATACACATCTGAGACACACACACTGAGACACACACATCAGAGACACACCGAGACACACACACACACATCAGACACACCGACACACACACACACACACATCAGAGACACACCGACACACACACATCAGAGGCACACCGAGACACACACACACACACATCAGAGACACACATCAGAGATGATATAAAATGATGGTTTCTATTTTAATATCCTTTAAATGTGTGTGTGTGTGTGTGTGTGTGTGTGTGTGCGCGCGCGCAGTTGGCCTATCCGCTGCTGAACCTGACCTCCAGTCAGCTGTGTGTGAGGGGTCAGCAGGACTCTCTGAAGGGTCAGGCTGTGGTGGTGATGAGGGGCGGCTGTGATTTCGGTCAGAAGGCTCTGATCGCTCAGGATTTGGGTGCATCTGTACTTCTGATCGCCAGCATTAAAAATATGCTGACGCCGTCTGTAAACAACTCTGTGTTCAGTAAGATGAAGATTCCTCTGGCCCTCGTGAGACACCGGGACGTCCTGGACGCTCTGCAGGTGAAGATGTCACACTTACTTCTACAGCACTTCACACTGGACAGATCGTTTCAAAGCAGCTTCACTGAGAGAAACAAGAAAATAACAGTGTTAGTGTTGTAAAATTCATTGATTCACTTCCGCTCAGTGTCGATTCACTTTTCTGAGTCCATTAGCAGATATTTGTTCTTGTTTTAATCATAAACTCACTTCATTTAGATCAGTTTCTCAGAAAACAAGACTTCTTATTTTAAGTCATTTGTTTCTCCAGTAAATGTGTCTTGATTTATCACTGGAAATAAGACAAAAATACTGAGGAAGAGCAGCAGCTTTTGCCATGTAATCTGAAGATACAGTAAACGTTATTTCAGTACATGTTTCTTTGTGTAAAATGAATGAAAATGTAATGGAGATCTGTTGGAAGTAGCATTTTCAGTCTGAAGTGTTGCTTATACACAACATTTACATTTAGAGATCATTCTGACGTATTGTTCTCTTCAGTCTATTCCTGACATTATCTTGCTCTTAAAAAAGTCTTACATTTCTTCACAAAAGTTTAAAGTTTACCTTCAGAAAACATGCAGATCTCTGTCTTCCGTCCAGTAACAGAATCAGCGCTGAATAACCGTTGATGTCTGCTCTCACAGGTGTTTCCTCAGGGGATGCAGGTGAGGTTATACGCTCCTCCCGTTCCTCCGTTTGACGCCAGCATCATCGTCATGCTGATGCTCGCCGTGTTTACGGTGACGATGGGTGGATTCTGGAGCGGCACAGCTGAGAAGTGAGTTGCTCGTCATCATCGTTAGCTCTCATGTTGATCAGGTGTTGGCTGATGGGACGGACGTGTGTGTGTGTGTGCGCTCAGACTGAAGCAGACCTCGGGTCCGGTGTGTGACGCGGCTGAGGGACGCTCTGACAGCAGCGAGCTCTCGCTCTACTCTCCGCTGAAGGTGCTGCTGTTCGTGGCCATGATGTGTGTGATGCTGGTGCTCATGTACTTCTTCTACCGCTGGCTGGGTGAGTCCTACTGCTTCACTGTCTGCAGGAAGTGACACGAGCAGCGTGACTGATGCTTGCTTTCTCCTGCAGTTTATGTGATTATCGTCATATTCTGCCTGGCGTCAGCATCAGCGCTCTATAACTGCCTGGATTCACTGATGACTGCACTGGGCTGCAGCACGCTCAGGTCAGAAGACACACACACTCATACACGCACACACACTCATACACGCACACACACTCATACACGCACACACACTCATACACGCACACACACTCATACACGCACACACACTCATACACGCACACACACTCATACACGCACACACACTCATACACGCACACACACTCATACACGCACACACACTCATACACGCACACACACTCATACACGCACACACACACTCATACACGCACACACACACTCATACACGCACACACACACTCATACACGCACACACACACTCATACACGCACACACACACTCATACACGCACACACACACTCATACACGCACACACACACTCATACACGCACACACACACTCATACACGCACACACACACTCATACACGCACACACACACTCATACACGCACACACACACTCATACACGCACACACACACTCATACACACACACACTCTCATACACACACACACTCATACGCGCACACACACTCACTCACTCACTCACTCACTCACTCACTCACTCACTCACTCACTCACACACTCACTCACACACACTCACTC